ATCATAACTTTGAAAACTGGCATCGTATCTTTAGAAGTCTGTCTTTGAAGGGATCATCTTACCTTACATGAATCTTTGTCTCCTTCCAGTTCACCTGCACACAATATGTTGCCTGACAACCATGGGTAAGCTGCTTCACACACCTCATTATGGAGTATGTTAATGTTAACACAATGAGGGACTTTGGGATAAGTCACTGAAAAAATAAAAAATAGGCAAAGTTACATAGTTCCACTATAGAATGCTTTAAATAAACCTGATTCTAAAAAGTAGTTTTTGTTTTTGCTATAGAGTATGACAGTTCCTTATTTATTTCTTTTATTCCGAGGACCTTGTGAGCGTGGAACTGATGAAGAAATGGAAACTTAGAGAACCCCGTTGCCCATCCCCATCCCAATCTCTTCATGGGTATCATCAGACATAGTGAGACCCCAAAAATGTTTGATGTTACTCTGTTTCCCTGAAAATAAGACCTCCCCAGATAATAAGCCCAATTGGGCTTTTGATCACATGCGCTAAAATAAACCCTCCCCAAGAATATTGCAACACAGCAGCAGCCATGAGGTGACCACGCTCACCGCCTCCTGCATCTCAAAAATAATAAGACCTCCCGGAAAATAAGGCCACGCGCTTATTTCGGGCGTCAAAAGAAAATAAGTCCCTGTCTTATTTTTGGGGAAACATGATAATAGCTTTGGCTGAGACGGAGAATCCCTACCTTCAGGAGATGTGATTGTGCCCCAGCCCATAACACGGCAAACTGAATCCACCCGGGGAGGGTTGGAGGGCAAGCTGAGAGGCGCGATGTGTTCACTAATGTTAACAGAACTGTTCAGCCTGATCAACATGATATCCTGGCTCCATTGGGTACAGTAATTGGTATTGAGACAACACAACTTCTCCTTCGGGACTCTTATCTGCTCATCCTTATTGTGTACATGTATGTTATGCGTACCAAGCCTTATCTGGATATCTTCCCTACAAGAAAAACAACAAAAAGGAGTCCGTGTGATCATGGTACTCATGATTTTGCATTGCACACATCCTTTCTCAACCCAACCTATCTCAAAGGATCGTGGGATAAAGTCGAACACAAGATCTGGATAGTGTCCACTCTGCTCTTGTTTTGCATGGCTGTGAAGACATGATGCCTCGCCCAGGCCTTTGGCAAGGGACAGAAAAGCCCCTCGCTTCATCATGGTTTTATCTTTTATGCTTTTTTAAAATTTATTTTGGAATTGCAAACCCTCAGAGTCAGGCGGCATGTGCTTTATATATCCTAGTAGGTTGTACAGTCAGTCGGATATTTAGGCTGGATTTGTCATTTTTATCCACCTATCGAGTCCTTCCCAAGGACATGGGGTAGGTAGATTTTGTGCTTCCATGGCATTAATGGGATTGTCACAGGATGTAAGCTGTTCTAAGTAAAGCTGCCTTTTGCAATTGACTGTTGATTTTGTCAATGCCGATGGTGTTCATGTAATGATCCAGATGTTGTTGTTGTTCTTGTTATTATATCCCAGGAAAAAAAGAAAAGATATAAATGCTATGGTGAAGAAGGAAATTCTAAATATAAACAGCATTGCTCAAGATACGAATATGAGGAGCAGTAACAGCAGAAGACTCATTCAAAATGCACAGAGAAGTCACTAAAATTAGCAGAAACATTATTTTTAAAAAATCTAAGCACGATCTCCCTCAACCCTTCCACATTCTGTCATGCCCTCACCTGTTGCAGTGGGCAGCGGTGAGCACCCATTCGTTGGTGAGCAAGGTCCCAGCGCAGAAAGCCCCTTTAGAGTTATACAAGAGTACAAGGAAAGGATGTTCTGTTTTGTTACATTCAAAACCTCCAACGATCTCCGTAATAGGGGCTGCAAAGAAATCAAGAAAGTTCACTAGTTGGCCGTGGAGTAGAACAGAAATGGCTTTTATTAGTAGTGTTTCTATCAGTACACTAATTTTGGAGGAGCGCAGAAGACTGTGAGACACGCAGCAGCAAACCTGTTGAATAAAATGGAGTATTTGCAAATCATCTACATGCCTATACCTATATAGGTAAACTACCTGTGAATCGTTAAGTGATTAATATGTGTATGTACTGTACTGTATGTATGTCTGTATATGTGTAAGTGTACATCAGAGATGAGATCCTACCGGTTCAGACTGGTTCAGCCGAACTGGTAGTAACTTGGCGGCCTGGGTAGTTGGAAACAGCAGCGACCCAGCCTGCCATGCCCCCGAACTCATTTTCTTGGCGGGGCATAGGCGCTGCCATCTTGGTTTTTTTAGTACGGCGCATGCGCATATAATGCGCATCAAGTACGCTTGAGAGAGAGAAGGGCACACATGCATGTCCCTGAGCAAACCGGAAGTAGCAGCAGCCGGAAACCACCCCTGGTGTATATATGTCTATAACAATAGTACTTAGTGCTTCATAGTGCCTTACACCCCGCTTTAACCAGTTAACAGAGTCAGCCTCTTGCCCCCAACAATTTGGGTCCTCATTTTACCCACCTGGGAAGGATGGAAGGCTGAGTCAACCTGGAGCCTGGTGTCAGGCGTGCCTCCTTCAGTAACCAAGACAGAAAACTCCCAACTCCATTGTTTATGGAATTAAAAAGTACTTTGACTGGTTATGAAAAGATAGCAGCGAAAGTAAAGCAAGATCTGAGCCAGAAAGGCACGAACCCATACATGTGAAACATTTACTCAGCCCCCTCCCTCTAACAACCCCACCCACATTGTCCAATCTGAAACTCCCATAGGCGTCATGTGGGTTGCATCTCCAGAAAGCATCATCAGGTTGGTATGCAAGACAGTTGGCCTTGACCAGGTCCAAACATCGGCCACCAGCATGCGCAGAAGATGGTGGGAAGACAACTCCCTTTTCCGTATCAACTCCTGTCCCATTTATTCCCATCCCAAATACCAAGCCCCCACCCTCCCCGTTTCTATGGCAGCCGAAAGCAAGTAAGCAAAGCAGATGCTGACACCTGGGGAGATTCGAATTGCCAAATTGCTGGCAATTTGTGTCCTGCAGTACTGCATTCTAACCACTGCACTTTACACTAGACTTAACCAAACCTAAATAAATCACAGGATGGAACAATTCAAGGTGTATGAGTGAAATGAGGAGCTGACTCTTTAGATTTCATCATAGGCCAGGTGTGTCAAGCTCAATTTCATTGAGGGCTACATCGGGGTTGTGTTTCACCTTGGAGGGTGTGTGTGTGTGTGTGCGTGCGTGTGTGTGTCCATGGTAGGCATGCAGTGGTGGGATTCAAATTTTTTTACTAGGATAAAGTTTACCCCTCAGTTATTTTTGTTAGGTATAATTACTGATTGTACAGTTGTAGAGATTAACCTGATTTTGCATTTAATAACCGCAGCAAGACTGCTGGTGGCGCAATACTGGAAGAAGGAAGATTTGCCTACTATTCAAGAATGGACATTGAAAGTAACAAACCTAGCTGAGATGGGTAAAATATCTGCATATCTTAAGGACCACTCAAACGAGAGATATAAACTGGAGTGGAGAAGATGGATTGATCTATACTCAAAATAAATACGGGACTAAGAAATTCCAGATAGCTTATGACTAAAGAAACAAGGAATGATGTAAGTTGTTTAGAGCAAGCCTAGCAAGGAGGAGTTAAAGCTCAAATGAAATATGATATCGACTTTTTTTTTAAAGTTTATTTTAGAATATCTTTTTTAAAGATTTATACCCTGTATTGGTTCTGGGAAATCGGGTGGGGGGAGGTGGGGGGGTTGG